GCCTGCCCCGTGGGGAGCCGGGACAGAGCCGCGGGGCATCCCCACCGCCTGGATCGTGGATTCCTTCCGCCCTCCGCCTGCCCCGTGGGGAGCCGGGACAGAGCCGCGGGGCATCCCCACCGCCTGGATCGTGGATTCGTTCAGCCCCTCGCCTGCCCCGTGGGGAGCCGGGACAGAGCTGTGGGGCGTCCCCACCGCCCGGATCATGGATTCGTTCATCCCCTCGTCGCCTGCCCTGTGGGGAGCTGGGACAGAGCCGCGGGGCGTCCCCACTGCCTGGATCGTGGATTCATTCAGCCCCTCGCCTGCCCCGTGGGGAGCCAGGACAGAGCCACGGGGCATCCCCACCGCCTGGATCGTGGATTCGTTCAGCCCCTCGCTCACCCCGCGGGGAGCCGGGTCTGCGTCTCTCTCCCCAGGAGGGTTTTCCCGCTGGCTCTCGCAGGCACCCGGGCTGGGCGGATCACTCTCCTGGGGCTGTCCCGGTACGATCCTGAGTGGTCCCGCTTGCACGTGCCTTTCCGGCTGGGGATCCCCCTCCTCGGCCTTGCTTGCCGGCCCATCACCTGCGGGGGAAGGATCGTGGTCAGTGTTATCGCGGGGCGGAAAATCACCCCCACCCCCCAGCAGGGTTTATTAACCGCTGAGCTGTATTTTCATTCTGCTTGGGGGTTTATTGTACAGCCACAGGGTAACCCCGGGCTTACGGCCCTGCCGTGCGCTCTGCACAGCCTCCGCGTTTCCAGTCCTCATTTACTCCCTACTGGGCAGTCGTTTTCTCCATATTTCGTGGTTGTCCCAGGGGAGATGGGTATTTCCCTTCTCTGGTGAAGTAAAGTTCTCGGCTCGGTCCCAGGTCTGTCTGTGAACCGCCTGGAGCCCCCGTGGGACAGAGAGAGGGATTCAGACCCGAGCCGTCCCTGCTTGGAAAAGGGAACAAACCAGAGAGATCAAAGCAGGAATTATCCCCTCGCCGTGGGGAATCGGGGCCTGGTCGGGGAGGACCCTGAACCAGGAACCCACGCAGGTTTCCACCGCTAGCGTCTGAAACAGCTCGCTGTGCTGCCTTCCTGAGCCTGCAGACATGGATCCGGGGCCTCTGCTGCTGCTCAGCGCCTCCCAAGGGGGCAAAGGGAAAGTGACCAGAGCAGTGAGTTTCAGAGCTGCCGGCAGGCTGACCCCATCCAGGCTGGTTTCTCTCGGCTGCTTCTGGGCAAGCTCTGAGCAGCAGCCGA